CAAGGTTGCATTTTTTCCTTCAGGTAAAGTTCTTCCTTTAATTGTTTCAAAATCGGACTGGACTATCTATTTCAATCTAGAAACCAGATGTCCTGTAGTAAATGTCCGGTGGGATGCTTAATTGGACATTTTGTGCGATGTGGCTGACCGACTATAAGTAAAATTTTCCATTTCGTATAATTATGCTTATACCGCTTGTTTTCATTTTCAGAATTAGCACGATATTCTTGCCATATGCCTAATAATGTTTGACACGGTTGATAAGTGCAATTTGTGTACTTATTTAGATTATTTTATTTAATTTTTATGTGGTCAATTTATTAATTTTTATTTAATTTAGGTTAATTTTCTTTTTGTTTTTAATGATGGACTATTTGGAAAAGGATGAGATACTAATTGACTATTTGATGCAAAGATTGGAGATCAAATTTCACACTTTGAAAGTGGAAGACATAAAGAAAATAATAAATTAAATGGACCTAAGTTTTGAACTTAAATTTGGATTCAAATTCATATTGAAATCTTGTTTTACACAAGAAAGTGGGCTGGTCCTATTAACACCAAGTTTAATTGGGCTGCAAGAAGGAGGCTGGCTGCCATATATATGTTTTTACGCACAGAAAAGTGGGAGGGAAAACCACGTAACTACAATACTTTAAATACATAATTTTACATTTAACGAACTTACAAAAATATTTCAAAAATCAGATATTACGTATATTTGTAAGATATTATTACGTATGAAATTAAGAAAATTCAAATCCCCAATAACCTTTCTCTACACAAATGCCCCAATCTACCATACACACCCCAATTCACCATACCCAGTCCAATCTACTATAATTTGATGTTGGTGAGGGCTAAAGAGGGATTTCAGTGTGGTGGATCTTTGGGCAAAGATGATGGAAATAGCGTCAGAGGCGAGGACTCGATGGACAAATGGAAGAACCGACCAAATTTAGGATTTCAATTTGTTTTGTTTTTCTTGTGGACTGTTTTTCTCTTTCTTTAGCTGTTCAGTGAGAGAGGTAAAATGTGATGGTTGGCCTTACCGAAGGCGGCAAAAGTAACGAATAAGTTTTCTATAAGCGTGACAAATGTGCCTTTTTGGATAAGAAGCAAACAGTGCAGGCTTCGAGGACTCCACTGCTGCAAACCACTACTTTTTTAGGTGAATTTGGGAGGTCCATAGGCGGTGATGTGGATGAGGAGCAACAAATTAAAACTAAGTTGGGAGTTAATTTGTGAAATTGCCCTGAGAATTGAAATGAAATTGAAGAATGTAACTTAAGTTTAAAGATGTTCTTCTTACTCTCCCTTTTTCCCCTCCCTTTTTCCCGTTTATGCTCTCTATCCTCTGCTTCTTGTTTTTAGCCTCTATTTCTATCAAATGTAGAAAATGGATATAAAGTGCATGCTAGGTAGTGGAGCACTAACTCCAATTCTATAAAGGAAGCCCCTAATTTTCTATTCTATTAAACATTGGGTTGGTAACTTCCAATAATAGATAAGTAAATCCTCAAATTCCTATTTTATAATAAGAGACTTGCAAGTGAAGTCCTAAATTTAAAATGAAGGAAAATGGTGTGATTTATGACTAATAGAAATAGTATGATTTGTGCTAAGGAAATTTAGTGACCGTGATCGATTAATTGTGTAGTTTGTAATTAATAAATGTGACATTGTATGTCTTAACATTTATAATTAATAATTCTGTGACTATGTATTCTTAATTGTCCCTGTATATGATCAGGTCTATCATAATATTTGATGTATGTGACTAGGTATGTGTAAGTTTTTATTGTTTGTGATCAGATCCATATAAGCTTAGTTATTTGTGACCAGGTCTATTTTTAGTGTGACTGTCTATGGTCATGTTTAACTTAATTTTGATTGTATGTGACCTGGTATTTCTTACATGTGATTGTCAGTGACTAAGTCTTTCTTAAATATGACTATTTGTGACCTGGCATGTCTTAATTTTGATAATATATGACCAGTGTCACATTGACTATGACTATATATGATTATTTCTATGTTAACAGTGTTTTGTGATCTAATATGTGAACGATGACTTTTGTGTGACCAATTTTTGTTAATTATGTCTCTATGTGACCTTTTATATGTTTATTGTGACTCTTTGTGACAAAGTTTGTGTTATTTGTGACTATCTATGATGATGTTTAATTTCGCTATGAATGTTTATGACTTGTAATGGTTTCATTGTGACTTGTTATCTAACTATGACATATTATTGTCCGACTGCAACTTAAATTTATCAAATTTGTAACTGTATGTATCCAAGTCACTAACTTGTGTTATATGTGATAGCTGTAATCAAATTTGTCTTCAGTTCGATTGTCTGTAACCATCTAATTTGTGACCAAGTCATTAACATGTGTTATTTATGTGACTAAATTTATCTATAGTGTGAATAAATGTGACCAAATTTGTCTTCAATATGATTATCTGTGACCAGTTCATCTTAATTGTGATGATATACAACTTGATATGTGATCAAGTCACAACTGGTCACAATTAACACATAATTGGTTACCATCAATCACAACAAACACATAATTCGTCACAGAAAATCACCACAAATAAATCTACGCATACTATATACTAGCATCACAATCTACCACCATCTCCTGCAATGCATCACAACTATTACTTTCATCTTAAATCCATGACAATAAATTCCTAACAAGAACATAAAATTCTCAATTCATGTTTAACTAAAACTTTTCTTTGCTATTCTAGGTAACCAATAATAATTCCCCACCTTCGATCTGCACAATCATTTCCTTAAGAAGGTAGAGTACCAGAGTACAATAGTATGATATTCTTGTCAAACACCCATTGAAACGAGGCATCAATCCTCAGTGCCGTCAATGCTACTTGCATCAGAGTGTGATATTTCGAAGATCCCATGTTGGAGATCACCTTGAGATCTACTTTGCAAAAGAACCTTAACTACATAAAATTGCAATCAAGTAATCCAAAACCAAGAAAAATTATTCCACAATTGCTCGTGATGAAAATTTCGTACAATAAAAGTGATGTTACTTTCATTTCTCAGTCTACAAATATTAAGACAATCATATTCTACCTATGGTACATAATGTACACAACTGGATATGAACTGAAAGTAATTAGTGTAATGTGAAAAAGAAAAAAAAAAGCATCCTTATGTTTTAGTATGACATCAATGCATATGAGTACTACATGTAGAGGACATCAAAGCCATTTCTAGATCTTTATTCATTTCTCTTCAAATTCACGATCAATGATATCAAGTTTACTCTTTTTCGAAGAGGAACTGGTACCTTGGCCACCTTTAGAAAAGAAGTCACCCTGTGGCCGCCATACAATGTTTCCACAACTTGGACGGCAAAGTGTTTGGCTCTTGTATCCAACAAAATGTCTCCTACATGCAAGGCATTCTCCTTGCTTGGATAAATTAATACACACATGAATCATACGTGCTCATACTAATTACTATTGGATCATTCCATGATTATGGATCTAAATAAACATCAGCTCACAAATAACAAAACAATGACAAATCTAAATGTCAGAAAAGAACCGATTTAATTTATGGGAACTTTTGCTTTGGTAATACTATAAAAATAATATTCACCAGGGTCTACGTGAATAAGGCATCTTGAGCACATATTTTATATTTGGGCATTTTAATTAACTCCATAAATAGGTGTTTAGCATCTGGAATGAAGTTCTAAGCATGAAAATCTCAATTGGATAGTATTTGATTATAACAATCCATGTTTTTTTTTTTTTTTTTTTTTTCCAACAAAGCATTTTTCATAATAAAAAATGTCACACTTAAAAATCTTCCACTGAGAAAAATCCACAAAAGCAAAAAAAAAAAAGAACTTCATCAAGAAAACATTACAAGATGAATGACAAAATCCTAAACATTGATGAGCAATGGAAAATTGAAAAGAAATACTCAAATCATAGTCGGTCAGTAAGCAATGTTCTATCTTCTTAGCATAATGATAAAACCATAGTTGGTCTACAAGTAGCAGCGACGATGCAATGGCTAGCCACTGTGTATGACGGAGCAGCGTCATAGACAAGATATGGTAGAGCTACTCAGAGCACAACCTCCATCGAAGTTGTTGCCACCCATAGCCAAAGCCAAAGTAGTAGCCATCTCCATCGAAGTTGTTGCCACCCATAGCCAAAGCCAAAGTAGTAGCCATGGCCTAGATCTGATCCTTCACTGATCGGAAAGAATGGTAGAGGTGGGCAAGTAGCGAGGTATATAGATAGAGAGAAGGTAGAGAGAATGACGAAGATAGGGTTTGGGATGAACTGGGGGTGTGTGGGGTGAATTTGTTAGGTTTAATTAAATTGTTAATAATTATAATTATTAAAATCTAATTATCAGCTGATTTCTAAAATAAAAATTAATTTTCCTTGTTTTTGAAAAGTAGTCTTTAAATGTAGGTTTCTAAGTAATTTTTTCAAAATGGGAGTACCTAGAAAAAAGGGACGGCTGTTGGTGGAAATTAGAGGAGGAGAATTGGAGATTAAACATATAGAGAAAAACGGCGGTGGGAGGAATTGAATATACTAACCCACATTGAAAAACCTTATGTTTCCTGGTTTTACTCCCAAATCACGTAATCAAGGTTGCATTTTTTTATTTTTTTTTCTCCCCCTTCAGGTAAAGTTTTTCCTTCCTTGGTTTATAAATCGGACTGGACTGTCTCTTTCAATCTAGAAACCAGATGTCCTGTAGTAAATTACAGGTGGGATGCTTAATTAGACATTTCGTGCGGTGTGGGCTCACCCACTATATAAGTAAATCTTACTTACGGGCAAAAGTTTTCCGTCTCTGAAAATTATGCTTGAACCACCTGCTTTCATTTTCACAATTTGGTGGGACCATTGAAAATACCAAATTAGAACAATCTTCTTGCCATATGCCTAATAATGTTTGATACAGTCTTTGACTTTTAAGGGAACAAATGTAATATAATTTGGAGACAAGAACAAAGATAGGAGAGGTAGAGACCATTGGCAAAATTGCTGCAGATGGAATCTAAGTTTAAAAAGCTAGGTAGTTCTTTACAAGTGCCTGATGTGCAGGAATTGGCCAAGGAGAAATCGAACACTATTCCACCAAGATACCAGCGTCCTAATCAAGATCAAATCATTTCGTCCTTACCTGAAAATCGAATTCCTGTGATTGATATGCAAAAGTTGATGGAGAAAGATTCAATGGATACTGAGCTTCAAAAACTGCACACTGCATGCCAAGAATGGGGTTTCTTTCAGGTATGCACGGTAAAAACTAAAATATGTAGCACGATTTGCCCCTACAACTGGCCACTTGCAGTTGATTAGTTTTTTCTGTTGGATATGGTTTTATATGATCATAATTGGCTACTTGCAGTTGATCAACCATGGGGTTAGCTTTCCAACGGTGGAGAAAATGAAGCTAGAAATTCAAGAATTCTTCAGTCTACCAATAGAGGAAAAGAAGAAGTTTAGTCAAGAATCAGGGGACGTAGAGGGTTATGGACAGGCCTTTGTTGTGTCAGAAGAGCAAAAGCTTGATTGGGCAGACTTATTCTTTGCAATCACCTTACCAATTCACCTGAGAAAGCCTCACTTAATTCCCAAGCTTCCTACTAAGTTCAGGTAGAAACACGTATCGTATATTTGTACCGTCTAATCTCATCTGATAGCTGTACTAGAAATGCTGTTACTTTGCTCCTTTATTCTTGATTTTTGCAGGGATGCAATAGACGAATATGCCACGGAAATGAAAAACCTTGCCGTGAAAATCCTAGACCTAATGGCTAAAGCTTTACACGTGAAAGCTGAGGAGATGAATACGGTTTTCGAAGAAGGGATGCAATCAATGAGGATGAATTACTATCCTCCCTGCCCCCAACCGGAGCTTGTTACCGGCCTCTACCCCCACTCTGATGCAACTGGACTAACCATCCTCCTCCAAGTCAATGAAATTGAAGGTCTTCAGGTTAAGAAAGATGGAGCTTGGATTCCAGTTGTACCACTCCCTAATGCTTTTGTTATTAACATTGGAGACATCTTGGAGGTAATTGTACATAATCAAATGGCCTAAAGTCACTCCATTTATATGTTGTTCTCAACTATGTTTAGCCTATAAATTCTGTTGTATACATTGAGATCTTATCATTACGTGCTTTGACAGATTGTGACAAATGGAATTTACCGAAGTATTGAACACCGAGCAACTGTCAATTTGAAGAAAGAAAGGCTCTCCATTGCTACATTTTTCAACCCGAATATAGATGGTGATTTTGGTCCAGCACCAAGCATTGTGACTCCAGAAACTCCAGCAAAATTCAAAAGAATCAGCTTTGTTGATTATATGAAAGGATATTTTTCGCGGGAACTTGATGGGAAATCATACCTCGACACCATAAGAATTTAGAATAAGAACAATTTGGTTCTTGATTCATGTATGCCGAGTTCATTAAATGAGAAATATGGTGTCTGCTAACAGTTATGTATGCAGGTATGGCAGCTGCTATTGGTACCCAAAATCAAGTTGCTTAGATTTGAATAAATCTGTGTCGACTAGTATGAGAATGATTTAAGTCTTGTTACTCAAATAAGGCCCTTTTACTGATTAGCCCATTTAAATTCAAATATAGAAGCATAACAATGAAGGAAATTGTATGTCAGAAGTCACAATGTTACTTTGCATTGAAACACACGTTCTTGATGTAAGTATTATGTTCTAGGTCCAATCAACTTTGGATATAAGTACTTTTGATTTATAATTAATATAATTTAATGACAGATCTATTATTTAATTAATGGACAATTAAATAAATAATAGAGTCCATAGATTCAAATTTTCGTAATTTGTTAATTACAAGGAGTTGTGATTGTGAGATACAAATTACATCTGATTGAATCTTAAATCGTTCGTGGTCGTAAGTAATAACGAGATACAGATATCGTTATTACGGATAGACTATCACCTGTGGTATTTCTTATTTATGAAGTAAGTAGCTGATCTCATAAGTTAAAGTGTAGTGACACTTAAATTAACACGTGGAGACCCGCTGAGAGATTCCACATGGATAACTATCTGAGTGTCAATGGTTAATCTCTAACGTTCAGTAGTGGAATTGGTCCTTTAACTTGAGGTCGTCATGGTACCTTATATGAGGACAATCATACTTTGGCGATGTTGCTCTGCAAAGGACTGCTAATACGACATCGTTCGGGTACGTCAAAAATCGTACGAAGGTTGTGATTGACCAATAAAGGATTCGTCAATCTTAGATAGTAGGAGATTATGATCTGCGTTCCATTCAATTAAGTCAATGATGAAATCCTTGGCCAAGGTGTACTCATAAGTCGAAAAGGAATTTTCGACTTATATTAACTTAATAGTGGAGTGAAAGATATAATCGATAATTGAGATTGACATACTTTCATATCTTGTAATTGATCGGATCATATTGACGAAGGGATTATAGTTTTACGGTAAATGAACGAGTTTGGTTTTGTCCTACCACATAACATTTCCCGTCACATGTATTGCCCTGACACATTGCTAGATGTCAATCTGGGACGGCGAGTGTGAATTGATGATAAATTAAAAGGGTGCTTTAATTTATCAATTTTGATTATATCAAAATAATATTTCACGTTGTTAGGCATCGTGATTGGAAACCTGATGGTTCGCATAAGAGAATTGGAAGATTGCAATTTGTCGATTAAGTAATTTAATAATCGTTGGATAAATTAATTAATTGGATTGGTTATTTATAGGCCCGAATTAATTAATTGCATTAATAAATTCACGGACTGAATTTAATTAAATGTATTAATTAAATATTGGATCGGATCAGGCCAGGCCCGTTTGAGCTTATATAAATATATGACTAGGGTTTTTAATCCATATGATTTTTCATAATTATTCTTGCTAGCATAAGAGGAGAAAATCCTGGTAGCTGCAATTTTATTCTCTGTGTGGATCACCGTTGGAGGCTGGACAATTGGACAGCTGTGGGTGGCAAATCAAGATTGCTGGAACGAAAAGAAAAACAAAAGGTTTGCAGAATTCTCCAAAGGTACAATCTTTATCACGATTTCTATCTAAACACAAAGGGATCCTCGGTGGGAATCGAAATAATTTTAATTTTCCACTGTGCATATATAAGTAGATTCCCAACACTTGAAATATTTAATTATTTTGTCACTTGATTTTTGTCTTAATTGTTAATCTTATTAAGTCCAAGATAACAATTGGGAAGTTTGTCTAGACAACAATGTCTTGTCAAGATGATACTGGATTAAGTGACTAATGTAGCTAGTAGTAATTAATCAGTGGTTTGTTTGCATTTTTTTTTTTTGAACTAAAAATAAAATCTCCACTGAGATTACCAAAGTCGTGCAGATGATAATAATGCATGCTATAAAACTATGTTGATAACTAAATCAAAATTCAAAATTTTCGGCTACTTGAGGTTGAGTCAAATAGAGTCGTGGTTCGCTTTATTCTTGAAATAGAGTGTATAGCAACCAAAGAAGCATAGACTCCATCTTTCATAAGCACGTCATGACTTCCCTTTTTAAAAATCACTCTATTCTTTACAACAGCAATGGTGTCTGCTCCCATTATTGTTGTCAGGCAATGAGTTACATCGATAGTAGTTTTCTTCACCATAACTCTCTCTAAAGGTTTCTAGACTATGTGCATCCAGTGCACTTGTGCTTTGTCGAGCAAAAGTATCTTTGAATCTTTCAATATTGCTCTTTTTACAACAATTCTTTGCTTTTGTCCACCAGACGATTAAATTCCTCTCACCCCAACATTAGGTTCATATCCTTGAGGCAATCCTGATATGAAGTTGTGTGCATTTGCAGCTCTTGTCGCTGAAATGGTCTTTTCTTCAGTTGCAACCTCGTAAGAAATGTTTTCATGAATTGTTTTGTTGAAAAGAATAGGTTCTTGACTCACTAATCACATTTGTTGCCTCAGCCAACTTATTGAATTTTCGAGTTTCCACTCCATTTAAGAATAGTTGGCCGGACTCAGGGTTATAGAATATTTGTATCAAACTGATAACTGTGGACTTCCCACTTCCACGCTCTCCAACTAGAGCCATTGTCTGCAAAAGCAAAAATTATCTAACGTTACTTCTTCCAAAGATTTTAGCTGGTTTTTCTCTTGTACTTTTCTTTTTCGAGGTACGGAGTATTTTGATCTAACTGGTCGACCACGCTTCTAATGTATTTGAGATTCATTTGCTACAATGGATTGTCTTATAGGGAATTCAATTTTTGCAAATATTTTCTATTGAAATATATGAATTTGTCATTTTTTTGTATCAATAAATATATCAGGTAATTGATTTGCAACATTTTTGCGAATGAATAATTTTTTTAACCTCTTACTCCCATTGATTGCTATGTGGATTAAATAGAGATAGAGTTGTTTCATTTCAATAAATTTTACTTGGTTTTTCAAGATGTGATTTTTCCCCTCTTAAAGTTAGAAAAGACATTTTATCAAAATGACAATTTGCAAAACGTATAGTAAATAACAGTTCAAGATACTTAATAATAGATGGTGAATCAAAACCTACATAAATCGCAAGTCTTCACTGAGGACCCATTTTAGCACGTTGTGGGGGCGTAAATAGGGATTTTGACAGTACAACAAAAAATCGATAGGTGAAAAATATTAGGTTCATGACCAAATGAGAAATGATAATAGGTAGTTGATTTTATATGAACCAATAATGTAGCTTGTAATATGGCATGATCCCAAATAGAAGAGGAGTTTCATAAGTAATGGTCTAGCAACAAGTTGTAAACATTTAATAAGCGATTTCGCTTAACCATTTTGGGTACAGACATGCGCAATAGAATGTTCAACAATAATTTCAATTGACATGCAATAATTATCAATGCTTGTGTTCTAAATGCAATAGCATTTTCAAGACCAATAATCTTGATTGAGTAATCAAAAAATTGCGCTCATAATTTTATAATTTGAGCAAGTAGTCTAGGAAATGATACATTCATAGTGAAAAGTAGGCAAACATATAACCATCTAGTAGAAGAATCAATTAATACTATAAAATAACGAAATAATCCACATGGTGAGTGTATTGGCTCACACATATCTCCATGAACTCTTTTCAAGAAAGTTGGAGATTCAATATTGACCTTTATAATCGAAGGCCTAATGACTAGCTTGTCTTGTGAATAAGCAACACATGGATAATCATTAGATAAAAGAATTTTCTGGTTCTTTAAAAGATATCCACGTTAGTTGTTTAATATTCAACGCATCATTATAGCTCATGCATATCCAAGTATAAAACTTTTTGATTCAACGAACTTCCAATTCGTAATAATATTTGATTCAACCATTTTTTATAAATGTATAATACATGTCAAATGAAAGTTAATGAAAATTTTCTTTTATCTACTTCTAACTACATACAAAAAAAGTTATGTAAATATATTCAACATTCTTTTCTTGTATCATCTCAATGTGATATCCATTGCAATGGATATCTTAAAACTAAGCAAATATCTTCTGAATTTGCTAGAATAAAATACATTGTTAATAGATAATTTTGTATTATTTAATAAAATAATACAAGTTCTTCCAGAATCTTCCACGTATTCGATGCACTTGGTATCGTATTAACATTATTTTTTGCTAATATTAAGTTCAAAAAATATTTTTGTCCTGAAAAATAGTATCTGTAGTTGCACTATTAATCAAGCAAGTATCACCCATAAAAAATATATAAATATTTTTTAAAAAAACTTGAATTTAAATTTAAAAGATAAACATAATTCAATACTGTGAAATTAACGATGCATAATAAAATTTCAATTTTTTTTTTGTGAAGAGTAAAAATATATTTCAAACTAAATTTCTAAAATGAAGGGAAATACTAAAGGTAAGAAAATAAGCTAATCTATATCTTCCATCACACCATCCCCAATCAATGATCAATATTCTCATTTGGATCAACAAAAAAATTAGAGACATCCAAATGAGTCACTTCAATGGGATTATCATAATCAGTAAAATTTATTTTCACTTTTTCCTTTTCCTTGATTGAATTTTTGTAAAGATCCATGAGATATTTAGCTGTACGATAAGGTGCGTGCCCGATATCCTTTCATGTTACATCAAAAGTAACTTTCTTCGTCCTCTTTTTTAGATGTGTTACATTCATTTGCTTTGTGCATTTTAAAATTGTTGTCTTGTTGATGATAACTTTGTTGGTTATTTCTCCACGATTTATTTCACGTGCAGGTTTCTCGTCCACGTCCATGTCTATATCCATATCTTTGTCTTGATATTGCATTTGTTTCAAGTAATACAGTAATGGTACCAAACTAATTGGACATAATCTATGATTTTTCATTAACAGATCATTATTTTTCCAGCCATAAGCAGGCAAGATATGAGTATTGAGTATCTTTTAAAACCAAGCTCACAATATTGCTGTTGCAGAAGCACATTCGAGGCGTAAAATGTTTTCTCCAACATGTCTTCATCAGTAATTTTTTCTCCACATAATATTAATTTTAAACATATTCTGAACAACTTAGAATTAAACTCACTAACAGTTTTGAAGTATTGAAAACAAATGTGCATCCACTCATAGCGGATTTTGGAGAGGACTATAGTCATCTAATGATCAAATCTTTTAGTTAATTTTTTTCAAAGAACCCATAGATCTTTTTCAGTGAAATATTCAATTTTCAATCCATCATGAAGATGATGACGATTAAAATGAGTGTTTTTGCATGATCGTGTAGGGATCTTTTATTTCATTCTTTAATTGTTTCTCCCAAATATTTTAAGACAAGACGGATATTAGCATCGAGTACCATTATAGATAATTTTTGTCAGATATGTCAAGTGCAACAAACTCAAGTTTTGTAATGTTTGCTATTTAATTAACTACACAACAAAGCGAAAAAAATACAATTAGTTTCAAATAATATGATTAAACATCACATAATCGTTAATCAAGTTGTCAACATGACATAAGTTATGTATTTTTTAACAAGGATAAACACTAATTTAAAATAATATCTTCTTCAAAATATGTGCAGATTTAGGAGCACATTGTATTTTACTATTATATCTTTAAGAGCAATATGCCAATATTCTTCTGAAATATTAAAAGAATATAATTCATGTTCCTTGGGAGTAAATAATATTTTTCTTAAATATTAAAAATAATATATTCATGCTTTTCTGGAGCAAGTAGTCTTCGTTACGAGTATTAATTATATAATGTTATACTATTTCAGGAGCAACTATAATTAAGAATGAATTCAATAAATAACATTTTATTTCTAAATATAAAAAAAAAAAGCAAAACAAAAAAAAATGAAACGTGCAATTGCACACTGCATAATATTAATTATTAATTAATCTATAAATAAACATAAATTAACCTGAATTCATTAATATGAATTGAGTGGAATTTATGGGATGCGTGTACAATCAATAATAATTTATGGTAATTAGAGGTATATTATAATTGATATATGTGAGGCCAAATCAATATCAATGCTTTTCTAGCCATTACCGTGTACAGGTAATAATTACCATTATTGTATATGAACTAATTATACAAATAAAAATTGATATAAAAAGTCATCTATATAACTTAAAGGATCGACAAATGAAAAGGCGTGGAAATTGAGAAAGCAAATAGTAGCATCAATTGATTTGTGGTGGAGAATTGACTTGACAAATCAGAACGCATGAGAGTCGTCATAAATAACTTATTAAAGTATAGAAGAAAAGGGGTGGGGCGACAGATTGTAAATATATTCTCATTTGTACACATATATTAAAATAGAGAAGAAAAAGTAGTAGCCTTGTATGTAAAATAATTGACATGATACCAAATTAATTTTAGTACATGTGATAGATGATTATACTTCAAAAAATTACTACCTTCAACAATCCTTGAAAAAATAAACTTTCGTACTGATGACGTATTATGAAAAAAGAGAAAAAGAGGAGATCATAAAAATTAATAAACTTGTGTGCATTTTATTGAGAACCAAAATCCTATATTTATAGGAAAGTATTAAGGATACAATAGTAATAATTTCTAAAACTGTAGGGGTACAATTATCATTCACTAATACACTTACCATTTACAACATGTTTATAGGGTGCCATTATTTACATCCACAGTTTTTATATATGCATCTTACTCTATATACATTCATATTAAAATTTTAAATTTTTAAAAAATTACTAATTTCATCCACGTCGAGTTCCAATATTGTCATTATTAAATTTATTCATTTAAACATTATAGATCCATACAAATTTTATATATTCATCCCACTATAAATACATTCCTAATATAATTTCAAAAATTTTAAAAAATCACTATATTCATCCAATTACTTTCAACGTTTAGGCCCCGTTTGGTAGCCATTAATTTTTCCCATAAATTAATTTTTCGACCATTTTCACCCACAACGCATGTGAACATGTACAAGCATCTAACATTTTCATTTCCTCCAATTGCCCCTCTCATTGACACAACTCTCTCTCTCGCTCCCCTACCATTTTCGCTTCCTTTAAACTGCCCCTCCCATGGACAGTACTTTATCCATCCTTTCGGTTGAAACGGGCAACCTCACCAGCAACAATTTCTCTACCTTATACACAGGCCCCGCCGTGAACATTTGTGACACTCGTCGTAACCACCATTGAGGGAAAGGGCCTCAACGTCGACCTCTGCGATCGAATCTGTAGCTTGCACAAGATATTCGGCACCGATCTTCTCCACCAACCGAACATGGATCTCGTCGGAATTCAGGTATACCCACTTCGTTCCCCTCGTTTTCCACACTTCTAATTGGTTTTGCATCAATGCTAACGACCCTTAACACTTCCCAGTCGGGCGCGAGCCAACAACGCTTGTCCAATATTGCTACCGAAACTGCAAGGAGATCTAGGTAAAAAATCTATGCGCGCTGGAGCCCGGACATGAATTGGGCCTTCATGACTGCCTACAAAACAGCCATAGCGGAGGGACACTAGAACAACAGGTGTCTCACTAAACACGGCTAGGAACGCGTGTCCGTCCTCTTCAACTCCGTCACTGGGCATAGCTGGAGCAAGCAGCAGTTGCGAAACCATTGGGACGGAATGCGACGAACCCACAAATGTCTGTCGGGGCTTGTGAACACCAGCTAAGTAGAGTACGATGCAGCCACCGACCACAGTGGTGAAGTCGAAAGCTTAAGGTAACGTCTCACACCTTCATTGATTCGGCCCACAATCCAATTCATGAAGAACTATGTACATTCAGCCACTTCACTTTACTACCAAACTGCTGCCCTAAACAAACTTTACCGTCTTCCTTTGTTAACTTGAACCACCTCGAATTGACTGAGATGAACTGTGTATTTACCAACTGCAACGAATATGAATTGTTTTCTAATTTTGATTGAAATTCACTGCAAAATCATAATGGGTTGGAAATTGGTTTCTGTTAATTAGTGGCTTTTTCTTTCCTTACTGAACATGGATTTCATAAATTAATCGGTTGTATGCTTGTTGCGTTGGAATGTCACACGCGGTTGACATGATCAAATTGAATAACGTCATCGTTATGTACTAATTTTTTCTATTGCTTATATCAGTTTCGGACTTCATATCGTTGCTATCTTCAATTTTTTTAAATGGCTTACACTATGATTTTCGTGTCCCTATTCGATGAATTTGGGGAAGATCTGTAATTCTCAAAACTGTATACGCTTCAACATAATGCAAATAGTATTCGTTATTTATTGGTAAGTCAAATATGAAATTATGCATCAACCTACGCACTAATTTTCCAAAAAATGGAAATGCAACCAAAAAATTGTCAATTTTTTTTTTTTGGAAAACAAAAAGCTTGTTTCAATTCTCCTGTCAAAGCACAATGAGTCGGACATAGCGTATCATGCATATTTTGTTGCATATTCTCATATCTCGCATTTTATCTGTCTTTATGCATTCCAAATTCCAGTGCATACTGATACTCTAACTCCTCAAACCGTGCTTTGCAAGAGAATAAGGGGTACAAAGACTTCAATGACAAGGACAGGAGCGAGATCTGCATTCGCTACCGTCAGCTATTCGAAGACAAGTACGTCGTCACTGCCACTAAATTATGCAGAGCGGGATTCAGCCTATACGAGGACAGTGTGCTAAAAGAAAATAGGGATGTTATTCCGATCGACGTCGAGAGCAATGGTTTGAGCGACGAGGCCGAACCAACAAATGTTGGGGTACACAAGTGTTAGTAAACAAAAATCTTCAGACAGTCAACGAAGAGGCCAGAAGAAAAAAGTTTGTCCCTGAACTATTTTTCTCAATTGACTGTGCCACGAGTGCTGCGGAGGAAGTGGCGACGAAGATTAACACGATGATGGGCACAAGCAAAAGCGCTGGCACTGCCTGTTCGTACTTCTTGCACAGAAGCGTTACCGGGACATGCTCACCGTCATGAAGGACGCGAATGAGAAATTTAAGTGGATTGAGTGGATGTTTAACAATCGAGGAAAGTAATATACCGGTTGTCGTTTATTTTTTATATTCTGTTAAGTAATAGTGAAAACTATCTTCTTTTTTCTATACTATCGTCTCAGCATTGTAATTTATGTGTTTTATTTTTTTCTATGGTAGTCTAAACATTCTCATGTACTGTGCTCCATTATTTCCTGCATAGCGTACAAAATTTCCACTCTGCATTATAGGCAAACGTAGGGCTAATCATAATGGATAGGACATGTAACAATCCAATTTTTTAAAGGGTTGAATCGCTACCAAAATTTTCACTTGAATTTGGACAACTTGGAATGCCATTATATATAATTAGGAAAATGTAATTTACTCAAATTTATAAAAAGAAGTAAATATTAGTTTATATATATATATATATATATATATATATATATATATATATATTTTAGGAAAAAAATTTATAGATACATTCTTGTTTCTTCGCCATATCCTTCAACGTGTACATAAAAATAGCATATAAAATTTATCTGTTCTTAAAGAATTCGATATAAAATCCCTTATTAACATGTGAAATAATTTTCCATTTGACTGCACGCATACACATGTAGTAATGAATGCCATATATATACATGTATATTATATTATATATAGTACAAAACCAATTCCCAATTCAAAGCATACTAAACTTTCTCTTTCCTCTATGCGTGGATCACACCCCAAGTTGAAAGAAAACAGCCAACAATTTGCCTTATTTTATTAAAAGAAAACTTCCCACCCTACATCGCCAGGCTATGGAATAGCCTGTTAACAATTAATACGTTAAATACGTGTTCAGTAAAATTGGTGGGTAAAATAATATTTAACTCAAACAAAAACTGCATCTGGGGAATTCAACTATTGAAAAGCAGATTCGATTTCAGAAAATTTTGATAAAATAATTAAATAAATGGATTCGATCATATGACTAATTTTCACTACACTCTGCAGTAAATTCACACATGCACAAGTTTAATTCTATCCTATGCAATTAATCCTAAGTACAATTTTTGCTCCCATTAATATAAAATAACACTAAAGGAAAATGAGATAATTTGATACGAACTTTTAACCAAAAACTCAATTTTAAAACCTCCATGTCAAATAAACATAAACGATAAATCAGTTTTAAAATAAATGTCTATGACAAAGAAATAAAATTACTTGTTGAAATCTAGATTTTCATCAGCAAAAGCAAGCACAATCACACCATCGAACCATCACGCTCCGACACGACCCGATCTAACCTGTATGGTGTAGGAAAAGGGTGAGTACATGGGAATACTCAGTAGGATATCAGATTTTAATGGTGCAATCCCGAATAATAATTTTAAAACATGTGTCAGAATATCATACCGTCGCATAACTTTAAAATCCGGTAAGAGCTCACATCATAACATTTCATTTCATTTTATTGTACCGGAATGACCATATCATTCATATCATACATTGATATTATAACTTTACTTTCATGAGTATAAAATTCGTCAACATGTAAAAAATAATAATAATTAAACGGGACATTAAAAAAAATGCTGCACCTCATATCCTACCTTATTAAACTGCTTTAATTTTTGGAAGTCAAAACAAAATCACGTTCCCGTCTTTTCTTTTCTTTTTCTGCCTCTTCTATCACTGTAAGCAATGCACTTATATTTTTGTATCTCTATTTTCGTGCATAATGTGTTTATATGCATAGACTATAGACAGTAATACCTTATTTTTCAAAGAGTTTGTGTATTGTGAGGGAAACGTGTAGAAGTGGATGTGATTATGGATAAAAATAGGAAAACAAAATTTTGAAGAAAGATATCTGACCAAGTCCTATCACTTAAATCCGTGCATTTGCCGTCCACGTGGTGATGTTTCTTTGGTTCAAAATGCTTATTAAATAAAGAAAATAATCAGTTTCTAACCACTACTCAGTACTCATGTCTACCCATATTTCCCTCTCTCTCACTTACGTAGCTTTTCTCATCCTGTCTCTCTCTCTTTAACTTTTTTTTTATTATATCTAACAAACAAATCAATCACTCACCTACCCCTACCAAAAATCTTGCACGAGAATCCTCTAAATACAATGATACTCAAATTATAAAAAAAAAAATAATCATAATCATAATCATAATAATATTTTAAGGCTAAATCTTTCGACCTCAATAATTTGAGCTCCATTAATCCAAATCCACTTTTTCTCGAGCCTAGCATGCATGATTAAATACGAGCTTTCCAACGAGACCAATATTCATATACTTATTGTCGCTTCGTCAATATCTACATTTTAACCCGAATAAAATTCAATTTTACTTTGTATATATTTTAGTCCCTAAACTTTTAAAATATTAAAACCTAGCATACGTAAATCAAATTTTATTCTACGAAAATTTGGGTTACTACAATCTTCTCTCCTTTAAATATTTTCATCCTCGAAAATTTACCTTGGTTACTCAAAGAGCTTTGGATACTTGACTTTAAGCTCCTCTTCTTTCTCCCAAGTTGACTCATCAAGTCCATGATTTCGCTATTGGATCTTGACTAAGGAAACCTCTTTGTTTCTGAGTTGATGTAGCTCTCTCCAAAATCATCATCGGGGTTTCTTCATATGATAAGTCCTTTTGTTCATCCGATGTCTGGTAACTTATTACATGATTGGGGTCATGAATATATTTTCTGAGCATCGATATATGAAACACGTTATGCACTGCTGCAAGTTCAGGGGGTAAGGCAAGTCGATAAGCCATAACGCCAATCCTTTCAAGGATTTCGAAAGGTCCAATAAATCGCGGTCTCAACTTTCCCTTCTTGCCAAATCTCAATACGCCCTTCATGGGTGCTACTTTAAGGAAAACTTTGTCGCCCACACTAAATTCCAAATCCTTTCTCCTACGATCTGCATAACTCTTTTGTTGGTCCTGTGCAGTCTTTATTCTGGCTCTAATCTTGTCAACTGCCCCAACTGTTCGTTCAATAATTTCAGGACCTAAAATTCTGTTCTCTCCAACCTCATCCCAATGGATAGGGGATCTGCACTTCCTACCATAAAGAGCTTCGTATGGGGCCATACCTATAGTGGCCTGGAAGCTATTGTTGTAAGCAAATTCCACTAAAGGCAGGTGTGTCTCCCAACAACCTCCAAGATCCAAAACACATGCCCGCAACATATCCTCAAGGGTTTGAATGGTTCTTTCTGATTGTCCATCTGTCTGTGGATGATAAGCAGTACTAAACTTCAGTTTCGTCCCCATGGCTGTCTGCAAACTTTTCCAAAATTTAGACGTGAACCTCGGATCTCTATCTGAAACAATAGTGACTGGAACTCTACGCAATCTGACTATCTCTTTGATGTATAGCTGTGCAAACTGTTCCATTTTGAAGTTCACCTTGATTGGTAGAAAATGGGCTGACTTCGTCAAACGATCAACCACTACCCAAATAGCATTGTGACCTTTTGCTGTCCTTGGGAGGCCTACCACAAAGTCCATCGTTATATGTTCCCAGTTCCATTCTAGAATATCCAATGGTTTTAGTAGTCCTGATGGTCTTTGGTGTTCTGCCTTGACCTGCTGACATATAAAACATTTTTCAATGAATTGACCAATTCCTGTCTTCATATTTCTCCACCAAAATGTATCTCGGAGATCTCGATACATTTTCGTACCACCTGGATGTGCTGAATACGGGGCAGAGTGAGCCTCTTCCAGTATCTCATTTCTTATACTTTCATCTTTAGGTACACATAACCTTCCTTTGAAAGTCAGGGCATTATCTACAGACATTTCAAATCCCATACGTTTGTTTGTGCCAACCTCAGCCTTTATCTTCTGTAGGAATGGATCCTTATTCTGTGCCTCCTTGATTCGATCACGAAGAATAGGCCGAATCATAAACGCTCTTACTCTTGCTGTAGTCTAAGTCGGTGGCGTGATAACTTCCAATCTCAATTTCTCAAAGTCTCTTACCAAGTATTTCTGCACTGTGGGTAGAACTGTTAACTGTGATCCTGTCTTTCTGCTTAGGGCATCTGCAACTACGTTAGCCTTACTCGGATAGTAATGAATTGTGTAGTCGTAATCTTTTACTAGTTCCAACCATCTCCTCTGTCTCGTATTCAGTTCCTTCTGTGTGAAGAAGTATTTAAGACTCTTGTGGTCTGTATAAATTTCACACTTCCTACCATAGAGATAATGACGCCATATCTTTAAGGCATGAACTACCGCTGCAAGCTCCAAGTCGTGTGTTGGATAGTTTTGTTCATACTGCTTCAACTGTCCCGAGGCATAAGCAACCACTTTTCCATGCTACATAAGTACACACTATAAATAAATAAAATAGGACTTTTTGCCACAAATTTTTCAAAAGAATTTAATTGGCACTAGACTTTTTCTTATTCCAAAATCTTGCTATAAAATATTGCTGTCAAATTGGTATCAGAGCTATTTTCTAGTCTAAAACATAATTAATTTATGAAAAGTGTAGATTACTTAAATTTAGAAATCTTAGGAAATCTTGAAAGAAAAGATAGTTCAGATATAGATTCTTTGATTTGTAATTTTGATAAAAAAAAATTAAGCATCTTTTACACTCTGAGGATAAACAGCTAAATAGTATTGTAGATTTACTCGTACATTTAGGAGAAAATTTAGAAATGAACAATTCAAATGAAAAGGTAGAAACTTTATTAGGAAATATAAATAAAAATATAAAGACTATAGAAAGTAATCTAGAATATATTAAAAATCAAAATACCGAAATATTAAAAAGAAAATTTAATAATATAAGAGAAATAGATACTAGTCCTAACCTATAAAAATTGGAAAATAGAGTTACAACGTTAGAAAAAAAAAATCAATAGATACTAGACAAGAATTAGATAATATAATAAATAAACTACAAAAATTAGACTTGGGTAAGACTAAAAAAAACCTAGTACATTTAAAAAAACCTAAGTGGATCCATATCTAATGAATAAAGGAAAATAAATTGTAGTTAGTAGTAGTAAATTAGTTGATAATCCTTTACTAAGAACATTAAGTAGAAAAATGGAATCCGAAATAAGACTAAAATCTCTAATAGATATAGAAGAACAAATAGAAACATTTAGACAAAATAAACAAAAATTAGTAAAAACTTTAG